TCATGAGGACTTGTGGAAAGAGGACAGAGCCTACAGTTGTATGAAGCTTTTCTTCATGGAGGTACAAGAAAAATGACTATTTTAACAATGGCCCAGACCGCCAGGCGTTGGTGGCACACGCCTTTAATCCCAGCACTTGGGAGGCAGAGGCAGGTGGATCTCTGTGAGTTCGAGGCCAAGTCTGGTCTACCAAGCGAGTTCCAGGACAGTCTCCAAAACAATACAGAGAAACCCTGTCTCAAAAAAACAAACAAACAAAAAAACACACCGGGCGTTGGTGGCGCACGCCTTTAATCCCAGCACTCGGGAGGCAGAGGCAGGCGGATCTCTGTGAGTTCGAGGCCAGCCTGGTCTACAAAGTGAGTTCCAGGACAGCCTCCAAGACAATACAGACAATACAGAGAAACCCTGTCTCGAGGTGGGTGGGTGGGGGGGGGACAATGGCCCAGACCAAGGAACAGGAGACTTATGTACAACACCCACTTTGACTCTACACCAGACAATCCTTTATACAAGGTGTCAAGGTCCTAAAGACAGTCCAGGAAGTCAAGTAAGATAGAGAAATGTAGTTCATGGATAACCACGTAGCTCATGAAGACACCAGACACATCTTGTATACTAGTTTTGAAGCTGAAAATGGGGAAAACTTTTCCTGTATCCAACAGATTAAACTCAAATGGCCATTTCCCAAAGTAATTATAATTAGTAACATCCACTGCTTCAGCAGGGATGTAAATGTGCTTTAATTCCAAAAGGAAAACAATTTTTCACTCACTGACTGTACTCACTGTTGTCTTAGATGTCTATTTGTGTGGGTCACAGCTATGTGTGGAGGTCAGAGAACAACCTGCAGTTCGTTCCCTCCTTCTATCATGTGATTTCCAAAGATGAAACTCAGATTGTCACTTAGCAACACACACCTTTACCCCACGAACCATCACCGAGATGGACATAAAGCCAATGGTTTGTGATCAGCCATAAAAAAGCCCCTAAAGAAGGGAATGCTGGAACCTAGAGCACAGAAGTTTAATGTTGTACTTTACAAGCACCCAAACCACATTCTACCACTACTCTCCTTACTAAAGTAACTCACTCTACCACATTAAACTAAGTCCTGTTTCTACTCAATCAAAACTTACTTAATAATCCCCAACTTCGCCGGGCGTTGGTGGCGAACGCCTTTAATCCCAGCATTTGGGAGCAAAGGCAGGTGGATCTCTGTGAGTTTGAGACCAAGCCTGGTCTACCCAGCAAGTCCCAGGACAGGCTCCAAAACAATACAGAGAAACCCTGTTTCAAAAAAACAAAAACAAAAAACAAACAAAAAAAAATTCCCAAGCCGGGCGTTGGTGGCGCACGCCTTTAATCCCAGCACTCGGGAGGCAGAGGCAGGCGGATCTCTGTGAGTTCGAGGCCAGCCTGGTCTACAGAGTGAGTTCCAGGACAGCCTCCAAAGCCACAGAGAAACCCTGTCTCGAAAAAAAAAAAAAAAAAAAAAGATTAAAAAAAAATTCCCAACTTCTACCTATGCTTAACTTAGGTTTTGCTCTAACTGAAGTTTCGATCCCATGTGAATGGTCTAAAAGCTGTGCGTTGCTCTCTTGAAGCTTTGTCAATGCTTTCTCCAGAGACTTTACTGCTCTCCAACCACTAATTCCAATAAAAGGTTGAACTGTAATGTAAATCCCTACTCACTTTCAACTTTGTGTCAAAACTGTAGTCTGTAATTATTACATAAGGAAAAGCTATCTTTGAAGGATAGAAAAAGTCCACTCAGGCAGCTGAGAGTGCAGCTCTGTAGGAGAGTTCAATGGGAGGGGGGGATGGGGAGATTTAACTCAAAGAAAAAGAAATAGAATTTACTCAGCTCTATTTTCAACAAGTATATAAATACACACATGAAACTTTTGACTTTAAAAAACAGGCAATGATAGCGTATCCCTTTAGTCCCAGCACAGGCAGGTGACCTCTTTGAGTTCAAGGCCTTGTCTACAAAGAAGTTCCAGGACAGTCAGAATTGTTAAACAGAAACCCTGCCTTGAAAAAGCCAAAACAAAAAAACCATATGCAGAAGCATTCATTCACTATCCTTCCCTAATGCCACCAAAAGTTTGGTGATGTTGTAAATGCTTTCTGCCTATAAACTTGGTTCAAATTAAATATTACTTGACTGACTCATGGAGGGAGTGATCTGACTTCTGTTGAGTCAGAAATACCCAGTTCAGCAGTTCTGAACTATTTTTCACTGGTAAAGGTGTTCTGAAATGTCAGCTTTTCTAAATACTAAATGTAACAAGCTGTTGTCTTAGTAATATTTTTGTATCTGCAGTTCAACTTATAATTAACAGAACACTTTCAAGTATATTCTCTTACATGTGATTTGCAATCTCTTGACTTAATCATCTGCACATCCCAAGAGAAAAACTTTCAAAGTGGCCACTTCAGTTGACTCCTCAGCTCCAATAAATGCCCCCCCATTGCACACACAAAATCACCAAACATTAAAGTCTGCTACATTTCTTTAATCAGACTTTCCTCCCAGACATATCCCAGGTGCCTCATAAAAACTGTCTCAAAGCACACACCCTGGGGCCCCAAGACAGTTTCAAGGCAGAATCTCCTCCCACATGAAAGCCTAGCTTAGGCCCCAAAAAGCCTCAAGTCAGCATCTCCTACAATGATCCTCTTGCCTCAAAGACACTTAGTCTTCTCCATTAGCTTCCACAGCTCTCGGGTGTGCAAGCTGCTAGACCACTGTAAGAATAAAAAAATTTCAAAGTCAGACATGCTACTGAGAGAATGGTTTAGTGTCCTGGAAAAATCAGGGGCTTCAGATGACCTTAATTTTTAATCCAGTTCTTATAACTGTGTGACCTGGGGCAAGTTACTGAACAAAGTACCTGTTCTTCATCTCATCACTATGAAGTCCAGGGGGCACATAACCAAATCCCTAGTGCCTGGCAAATAGCAGCATCTCAAAAATGTGCAAAGCAAATGCCAAGGAGGATATCCTCCCACCTTTATTGTGGCTGTGAGAATTAATGAATATTTGAAAATCACCTGTAGCACAGTGGCACTTATTACTAATTACTCCCATCTTCCAGTGAGTGGCAATACTACTTCTCAAGCATAGTATGAGAAAAGGGACATTAAGGAAACCATTAATTTCCACCTAAGCTTGGTCAGTCATGCCTGCCACCCCAGACTTGTGAAGCTGCAGCGATAGTACTACCACAAATGCCAGGCCAGCATGAGCTGCAGAGTAAGTTTCAGGCCAGGCAACAAAATGAGACTCTATATATGTATATTTAAAAAAGAAAAAGGAGAAGAAACTCTTTTCACTTCTAACAAATATTTTATCAGAAGTTACATATATGTAAAATTTTCAACTGCAAGCATCACACTGATTTTTGTCTGTAATTCTACACCCACTATCAAAAAGAACCACCTTTTTTTTTTCCTTTCCTTATTCCCAACATTTTTTGGTAGTAACAATGGGGATTAAACCTAGGACTGCTCTATCAAGGCAAGTGCTCTACCACTGAGCTATTTCCTTCCCCTGACTCCCTTTTACTATTTTTGAGATAAGCTCTCAAAGTTTCACAAACTGCCCTTGAATCTTCCATTCTCTGGCCTCTAACCTCCAAGTAGTGGAGATTAAAGAGCGGTGGCATCAGCCTCAGCTTTGCTTACTTATTTCCAATTACCTCCTATGATTACATCATTAAAGTATAAAATCTGTTTCAACAATTCTTCATCTCGAATCCCCAATTCAGCCTACTTATAAACCTATATAATCTTAACACTTGAAGACCAAGGCAGGAGAATCAGAATTCAAATCCAAACTATGTTACAATGATTTTGAGACCATACTGAACTACAAGAAGAATCCTATTTGGAATTTCTAAAAATATCAGTGAAACAAAATAATCCTTCTTCAACCCCAGATACAGAAAACCCCATTAACAATCACGTAGGATCATTCAATCCCGAACTAAAAAAGTCCGGATCAGAAAACAAAGCCCTGCTAATGTGTCCTTCTATCTATAGCCTTAGCTTCCTTTTGCACACTAACAAGGCTTAACTTTTCTCACTTCCTGTCTGAAACAGCTCAGTAACAGAGCGCGGAAACAAGTAGATACCATATACTAATCCAGCTACAGCGACGCATTGCTCAATGCCTACAATGACACGATTAGTCACTTTGTATTTAGCGACAAATCCAAAGACAGAAACTCAACTGTGGCACTTCTTTATCGACATTTATACTATAACTGTTTCTTAGTCGCTTTCCTGCAGAAGGTTAAGAAATACTGCGGTTAACCTCACTAAACATCCTTGACCTGAACACGAAGAATTTACCTACAAAAGAAAAGTTTACGCTTCTCAATACGCTACTGGCAAAAACTCAGGATCCCGGGCAAGAGCCAAGCTTGGTTAGTTAGCTTTGGGAAATGGGGGTGGAGAGGATGGCAAAGACATCTCTGGGAATTCAGAAATTTACAAACATTTTTACGAAAGGAGAAAGAAGCGCCAGAGACCAGCGTCACGGGAGACTCAAACCCTTTTCTCTTACTTGACCGCAACTCACAAATCCCACGCTTCTGAGTGAGTGAAACCCTTGGCTGGACACCGAGGTTCTCTATCAACACAAAGACCAAGGGGCCTCGCCTCCAGGACGCCTGTGCTCACGCGCCGGACAAACGCAGGCGCACCCCTGCACACCTCCTTGTCCGCCACACTCCTCCTCGCCCCCACTCGCTGTCGCCACACCTTCGCCCCCACAAGGACACATGCTGCCCGCACACGCACCTTCTCCCGCATTCTTTCACGCTCACTCGCTCGCTCGCTCCCCCACCTCGAGCCGCGCTCCCCGCCCCTTGCCCGGCCCTCCTTCCGGGGACGTGTCTCGGGCCTGCTCTAATGGCAGCGGCGCCTCCCGCCCTCCCCTGCCCGAGGCCCGGGCGCCTCGCGGGGCCGCCCGGGAGGGGCGCACTCACGCTGGCGAGCTGGGGACTGGGCATTGAAGGCCGGCGGAGGCGGGAGCGAGGAGGCGCCTCTCTCCTCAGTCACCTCGGCGGCGGCGGCGGCGGCGGGAGCGGCGGCGGCGGCGGCGACGACTCCCCCCCAGCCTCGGCGCGCGACACCCGGCCCGGCCCGGCGGCGGCGGCGGCGGCGCGTGTCCACGAGTCCGTCTTGCTGCTGCTGCTGCCGCTGCTGCCGCTGCGTCCCCCGCTGCCGCCGCTGCCCCCGCTACCGCCGCTGCCTGCTGGCGTCGCCTCGCGTCGCTCTCGGTCGCCGCTGCCGCTCCAGCCGCTCCCGGACGGACGACGGTTACAGCCTGGCCGATCGCGCCGCCGCCACCACCGCTGCGCGCGCAGCCGGACCAGCTCCCGCCGCCGCCCCTCAGGGGGCGCTGCGGGGCGCGGCGCGCGCGGCCGTGGCCACGCCCTCGGTACCACTGATTGGCTTGCGGCGGCTCGCGGCGGTTGGCCCCGCCCACAATGCCTACGGGGCGCTGACCCACTGCCCTGGGCGCTTGCCGTGCTCCGCCTCCTCGTGGTTTGCTCCTCTCGGCATTGGGGGCGACGGAAGGCGCGTCCATGTGACCGGCGCGGGGTGGGGGAAGCGGCATGACGAACGTGGCCGAGGAAAGCGCCCGCCCACGCTGCGACCCGCCCATCCGCACCTGGGTTTAAGTTGAAGCCTCTGGCCACCCAGTGACCCGCAAGGTCGCGGGCGGGTTCCCGTTCCCGGGAGGCGAGGCCTCAGGCCAGATCCCGCTGGGACTGGGACTGGGCGGCAGCTGAGGCCTGAGCAGGGGGACTTCCTGCTCAGAAGTGGGAAACCGAGTAGCTTAGTTCTTGGCTGCCCCAGCTGGAGGCCTCGAATGGCGTGTACTTCTCCGCGAAAGGTCTTTCTGCCCTGCTCCCCAGCCCGCTCCCGGGCTAGCAGTACACAGACTTCTTCCTTGACTGACGGAAATCCAGAACAAGTTTTTTCCTAAGTATTCTCAACTCTTAAGCAGAAATAATCCCATCTTCACAGATGCTCTTCAGTACCAGTATGAAGAATGAGCGTGATTAAAACAAAAACAAAACTGTGGAGGTGGGTCTATAGTTCCTTGCCTGTGAGGCCCTAAATTCAATCTTAGCACCTCAAAAAAAAAGATGGGGAGTTGGATTAGATGTCTAAAATTGCTGATCTAATCAATGGATAATCCTAGAGATTCTCCATTGGAAAGGCGTTTTGCCTTTTGCATTTTGAACCTGGCCAGAAATTCTTTGTCAGATCATCATGTGTCCTGAGTTCTGGTTAGGAAAATGCGGTTACCAGTGAGTTAGGAGACTGGTTTGGGCCCTGGAGGCTGCTTTGAGAAGTGGGTAGACTCCCCAGAGAGATGGAACTGAGGAGAAAGTGTGTGTTAACTTTTCCTCCTGGGACATCTCATCTGCCCAGAATTGACACCAATCCCCAAAAGTCATCCTGCCCTTGTGTGAGAAAAAGCAGTGGTCAATGGTCGTTAGCCATTTCCCACAAGGCAGACCTGGAGCATCATTCCTGACCAGAGCCTTCCATTAGAACTTAGTTTTAAAAGGAAAGGAAAGATCTTAATGACTCAGCCTCACCGAGCTACAGCACAGAACAGCAGGTGGCCCAGGAGGGGGTATTTTAGGGCAAGGCTAACTGGCCTTGCTGCGTGGGAGTTGAAAGGCCTTGAGGAGCAAGGGAGAGACTGCAGATTAGAATCAAGGCCCCTGGCTGATGCTGTGGAAGCTCAACGGCTGCCTGCATTACTCTACCAACCTCCATCAGGCAATGTTTTCTCCGACAGAAGGAAAAAGAAGAACTTTTGCTGCATTTCCTGGTTATTTCCTCTATCTATGCTCTATCATAGCACGACAACATAAGATAAATGCCTGTTTTCATGGTCGAATGAGTCTTTTTCTGTCCATCTGGCTCTCAGCCTGGCCTTAAAATAAAAGTAACATAACATAAAATAACAATAATAGCTACACTAATAGCCATTTTTAAAGCATCTTCTCCAAGTTCTGGGCAAGGTGCTTTTAAATAAATTACCAAATTTATGCTTCTAAATAACCCTATGAAGACGGTATTGTTAACTCATATTAAAAGAGAACAGAGGCTTAGAGAAATGAAATAACAGAAGCAGAGCTTGACCCAGGTCTGTCTGCCTCTGGGGCCCAAATGATCACATTAGTCTCTGACTTCCATCAATAATTTGTGTTCCTGAGAGTAAGCTGGAAAGTCTTCAAGCTTTCAGAGACCTTGGGCACGCGCCTCTTAGAGACCATAGAGTCACAGTCACTTTGCCCTTACCTACAGGCCAGCAAATTGGTGCCCTGGCCTCTCAAATCTAGATGTTTTCCCAGAGAAGGCTATAATTCGGCTTTACTTCCTCCTTGCCATAAACAGATCAGGAACCAGGCTGCAAGTGCCTTATTAAACACAAACCACCCTTGGCAGTGAGTTTCACACATAAGTACCCTGAGTTTATCCAGGGCCATTGCTGAAGCAGTTCCAAGTGCCATTAGCTTATTAATCCTCCCAGCACCCCTGTGAAGCTAAGCTGGCGGTATTCCTGGTTCATTTTACAGAGCATGATCTCCTTGGAGGCAGAAGCTGTGTGGGCCTGTCATACACAGCAATGCCAAAGAAGTAATGGGGTATGGCAAAAAAAGCGAGGTGCTGAGGTCAAGAGACAGCCCAGGTACCTGGCTCCCATTCTGTGCGTCTATACCCTTTTCATCTGGCATCCTTGCATGGTCACAAATTGCTGTGTAACCTTGGGTCCTGGTTAGTTTTTTTTTTTTTTTGTTTTGTTATGTCAATTTAGGATAAGCCAGAGTCATTTGTGAAGGAATAACTTCAGTAGAGAAGCTGCCACCATTCGAATGGCCCATAGGCAAGTCTGTAGGACATTTTCTTGATTAAGGATTGATGTGGGAGGGCCTGACCCACCATGGGTGGTGCCAACCCCGGACAGATGGTCCTAGTGTATATAAGATAGCATGAGCAAGCCATGGGGAACAAGTCAGTAAGCAGCATCCTCCATGGCCTCTGCTTCAGCTCCTGCCTCCAGTTCTTTCCTCCCAGCTTCCTATTGGTCATGGTGTTTATCACAGGCAAACCGAGACCCCTTAGAACCTTATTTAAAGTTTCAGAGTCTCAGTTTCCCCTTCTATAAAATGAAAAGGCAGGGTTAAGGAGCTAGCCTTAGTAAAGTACTTGTATTAAGCTTGAGTTTGAGGACCTGTGTTAAAAAACAAGCCAAAAAAAAAAAAAACAGAGGTGGTGATAAGCACTTGAAACCCCAGCTGCCTAGCCTGCCTAGCCTATTAGGGAGTCACAGGTCAGTGAGAAACCCCGCCTCAAAAGACAGGGTAAAGCCGGGCTGTGGTGGCACACACCTTTAATCCCAGCAAGCAGGAGGCAGAGGCAGGTGAATCTCTGTGAGTTCAAGGCCAATCTGGTCTACAGAGTGAGTTTCAGGACAGTCTCCAAAGCTACAGAGAAACCCTGTCTTGAAAAACAAAACAACCCCAACAACAACAAAAGACAAGGTGGCCAGCCAGGCACAATGGTGCACACTTTTAATCCCAGCATTTGGGAGGCAGAGGCAGGCAGATCTCTGGTTTGAGACCACTCTGGTCTACAAAGTGAGTTCCAGGACAACCAGAGCTACATAGTGAGACCCTGTCTTGTACCTCCCCCTAAAAAAGACAAGCTGGGTGGTTCCTAAGAAACAACATCCAAGGTTGCCCTCTGACCTCCAGGCTCACCAGGGCACACACAAAATAAAGTCAGTGACATGCCATCACTAAAAAAAAAAAAATTAAACAGGGTTAGCACATGCCTAGCATGCACTAGGCCCTGTTTTCACTTTCCAGCAACAAAGAAAAAAGGTTAAAAAAAAAAAAAGATTGACACAAGTTTGAAGCCAGCCTAGGCTACATAGTGAGTTCCAGGGCAGCCTAACCTACATTGTGAGACCTTGTCTTACCCGTTGATTTCAAAAAGAGCAGACTTCAAACTGTAACTCTACACAGAGATTTTAGCTTTTGAAACTTTAAATTCCTGACCGATAAAGCTTCCTCATCTATACCAGAGCATGGTGGTCACAACTATTTCATCCTAGTTGTGGGAAGACTTAGAAACTAAGGACATCATATTTGAGGTATCTGGCATAGTGGCGGTGGTCCATCCTTTTTACTTTCCTAACCAGGAAAGTTTTCCTAACAAGTTTTGCCTTTCAATGACCTCAAGTAAAGGAAGTAACAGGGTGTGGTGGGAAATATTTGCAACCAACAAAGCTAAGGTTATTCCAGGCTCAGCCACTGTGTGACCAGGTGGAAGTTACCTATGCTTTCTGAGCCCAGATTTCCCTGCCTCTGATACTAAATATAAGTTTACAGGCACCTAAGAGCAATTGACATCGTGCTAGGGGCTACTGGTGAATGCACACTCAGACTTATAGGAAGGGCCAAGTTGTAAGCCACAGCTAAAACTTTTCGGCCCGAAACCAAATGGGTCAAGAGCTACAAACTAAGCCAACCAAGCGCTACAAAGTTCAGATGAACATGGGAAATTCCCGCCTAGCATTGCTCAGTTTGTCCGGATCCTGCCAGTGAAGCGGTTAAGAGCAGGCTGTGAGAATTAGCCCAACCCTCCCAAGAGTGATAACCCAAGAGAAGAAGGCGGGGGGGGGAGGGAAGGAATGTACTGATTCACCGCCCCACCCATCCCCTGCCTCTAATCTCTCTTCCGGAATTTTACAGCCCTCTTTTACTGGGGTGAAGTGTAGGGGGCAGGGCGACGGTTCCAGTCCTCTCTGGAACGCGCTCTCCCTCACCCCCACCCTGCAGGTCCTCTGGTACAGGAAGCCCGGGGGCCCTGGTGTCAGACGCACACCCAGTAGCGTTCTCGCAGCCCTCTTCCCTGTGCGCTCGGGTTTAGGGGAACCTCGAGGGGGAGTGGGAGGAGCTATGAATTCTGGAAGACAGAGTTCGTGGTGTTGGTGCCATTTGGATCAGGAAAGCTTCGGCTACAGCCCACTTTGCACTCGATGGAGGAGTCACAAGGCGAGCTTCTTTCCCTGAGCAGTCAGCAATCAGCCCGTCTTCGCGGTCAGGTGTAACTGGATTTCCGCTAGAGAGGAAAAACAGCTTTAAGAGCTGTCAGAAGAGGGGAAACTTGAGAAATGGGGCTCAGGCACCGTTTTGTCTTGCAGATGGAGCAACTGAGGCCCAGAGAGTGCATTATCTGCCTCAGAAGGTCCTGAGAACCAGACATAGACCCTGCACTGGTATCTGCCCCCTTGAGTTCAATTCACAGCATTCTCTGATGCTTCTCGACTAGCTTTCCCTGTTTGGCAATAGGAAAATGTCAAAGATTTATTAATAACTGAAGCTAAAACTGTTGGGATCAGCAAGTCTCCCTACACCCACAAGGGATTCAGAAATAGTAGTTTGTAGCTAACCCTTATTAAGTACTTACTGAGTGCCAAGGCCCTGTTACTTTAAAATACATTTTATATATGCAATTATTTGGGGGGAGTTGTTTCTTTTGAGACAGGGTCTCACCATGTAACTCTGGCTGTCCTGGAATTCACTATGTACACTGAACTTGAACCTACAGAGATCTGCCACCCAGTGCTGGTATTAAAGGGTCACCACTGTGCTCCTCTTGTTTTGGCTTTTTTCTTTTTATTATTTATTTTGTTTGCATTTGTGTTCTTCAGGCATGTATATCTGTGAGAGGGTATCAGACTTGCAGTTACAGACAGTTGTGAGCTGCCATGTGGGTGCTGGGAATTGAACCTGGGTCCTCTGGAAGAGCAGTCAGTGCTCTTAACCACTGAGCCATCCCTCCAAGCCCCCCTTTTTTTTTTCAAGACAAGTTTTCACTATGTAGTCTTGACAGATCTGTAGTTCACAGAGATAACACCTGCTTTTGCCTCCCAAGTGCATAGATTAAAGGCGTGTGCTGCCAGTATACCCAGCCTTAATATATATGTATATATTTTTTTCAGGCTGATCTCGAACTGGGAGATCCTCCTGCCTCTGCCTCCCAACTGCTGGGATTAAAGGCGTGTGCCACCAATGCCCAGCTCCTATTATTTTTTAAGGATATATTTTTATTTTTGAGTGTGTTGGTGCTCTAGAAAACCGCTGGCTCATTCTTTTTTTTTTTTTTTTTTTTTTTTTGGTTTTACGAGACAGGGTTTCTCTGTATTGTTTTGGAGGCTGTCAGTCCAGCCTAGCCTCGAACTCACAGAGATCCACCTGCCTCTGCCTCCCGAGTGCTGGGATTAAAGGCGTGCGCCACCACCACCCGGCCCCGCTGGCTCATTCTTACCTCTCAAAATGAACATTTATTTATTTTGTTAGGAATCTTGGGTGCTGTACTACAGAGTATATGGTAGAGGTCAGAAGATAACCATCAGGAGTCATTCTCACCTTCCCTGGTATCAAACTCAGGTCACAAGGCTTAACCCTGTGTTATTATTACAGAGTGATCTTGGGGTTCCCTTCCCCCATTCTTTTTTTTTTTCTTTCTGTGTATTGTTTTGGAGGCTGTCCTGGAACTCACTCTGTAGACCAGGCTGGCCTCGAACTCAAAGATCCGACTGCCTCTACCTCCCAACTGCTGGGATTAAAGGTGTGCACCACCAACGCCTGGCACCTCCCCCCTTTCTTAACCTTTTAGTCTACTAATAAATGGTAGGGACAGGAGGATTTGAACTCCACAAGTATTTTTCCAAGGAAAGTCAAGCACAGTGTATTTTTCCACAACCCCACACCTTAACCACTGTGCAGTTAAGCTCTGGACCTCAGCTGTAAACGGATAAACTCCCTTCCCTGGAGCAACCTCTTCCAGAGTGCTTGGAGATTATCAGTGCTCGTGTAAATCTTTAATATGTGCTCCCCATCCGGATCATGTTCTTGTTCTTACACCCTGAGACCTCAAAGCACCAGGTTAAGCAAGGTAATCACCAGCCTGGTCTACAAGAGCTAGTTCCAGAACAACCTCCAAAGCCACAGAGAAACCCTGTTTCAAAAAAGAAACAAAAACAAAAAAAAAAGCAAGGTAATCAGGGTCAGTCTTAGAAACTGAGAAGAGCCTTCCCCAAGGTGCTCAGTTTTAGTCTCCAGCACTCATTTCTAGCCACATCAGAGATCTCTTATCTTCTGTTGTGTTTCCAAAAATGCTGCAAAGACTGCCAGTCCACACCTCCATCCATCCCCCAACATATCCCCTACCCAGTCCTCAGTTTACAAGCATGAAAACTGCAAGGTTGTAGGAGTCTTTCTTGGTTTAAAGCCAAAGTTGGCAAGCCATCTTTCTTTCCCATACAAACAGCTCTACAGAGAAAAATCTGGGCCTCCTTAGCCATTCTCATTTAATGAGAATAAAATTACCGAATCTTCCCTCCCTCAACACACACTTTGGTGATGGAGAGACCAGAACTACCAACTCCCCTGAATTCCTATCTGAAGGAACCTCCAAAGTCACCAAGTACAGTGCAAGCACTCCTTTTAAAGGCCCAGGTGACTTGCTGCTCTCCAAACACCCTGATTTCAGTCCCATCCTGCCCCCCCATACCCATGTCATCCTGAGGCGAGTTGCCAGGGGATGCCTCTGACTTCTGTGCTCGTGCACTCATGCACACAATTAAAAGTAATTACATTTTTGTCTGCTTCTGTTTTTGTTTTGAGACAGGGTTTTTCTCTATGTAGTCCTGACTGTTTTGGAACTCACTTTGTAGACCAGGCTGGCCTCAAACTCGAAGACATCTACCTGCCTCTTCCTCCTGAGCGCTGGGATTAAAAAAAGACCCAGAAAATGAGGTCCCCAGATAACCAAGAAATATTGAGGGCCTGACATAGAGTTTAGAGGGAATGGACTCATGGTTTCAGGGATTCAGTTAGGGTCTGTGTCAGAAAGAAAGGCTTTCTTCCATTGATCTTTTGGGGGTGTTTGTTTGAGGCAGGATCTCACTGTTGCTCAGGCTAGTCTCCATCTTGTGACCCTCCTGCCAGAGCCTTTTTGGTACCTGGGACTACAGATGTGCTGCACCACTGTAGCTGAAAAGACATGCTTCAGGTTTTTTGGGTTTTGGTTTTGGTTTTTTTGAGACAGGAGACAGGGTTTCTCTGTGTAACAGCTCTGGCTGTCCTGGAACTTACTTTGTAAAACAAAGCTGGCCTCAAACTCTCAGAGATCCTCCTGTCTCTGCCTCCCAAGTGCTGGGATTAAAAGCATGTGCCACCACAGCCTGGCTTCAGTTTTTTTAAAAAAATTACTATCATCATTACTAAGAGATGACTGCTTAATAATGGAAGAGATTCCTGAAAATCTGTTCTGTACTAGAGAAAGAGTCACTGTCAACAATTTGAATTATATCAGCCTTCCAGATTTTCTGCAAATTTCTCCCTGCCCCTTCCCCTCTGTGTGTGTGTGTGTGTGTGTGTGTGTGTGTGTGTGTGTGTGTGTGTGTGTAACAGAACTAGAACTGTTTTCCTTAACAATATATCTCTGCAGTTTTCCACACCAGTGCGTCCAGGCCTACTCTGTTCTTTGTAAAGGCTGCCTACATAACATGGCTGAGCTACAGTGAACAGGTTCCCTACTGATTGGCATTTGGGCTAGTGCCAATTTGTTGCTAGCACAAGAAGTAATGCAACACATTTTTGCACAGACAACTTGGAACTATCCAGAAAAACTTCCTTTTCAAACAAACAAAATATTTCATCCATTATAATTTTCAACATATTTCAAGTATCTCTTGTTAAAATCACAGAAGCACACATAGCACACAGCAGAACTTAAGTTTCCACTAGTGATTTCCTTTGCCTGAGAATTTCCATGTGACCACAGCTAGGTAAGTAGGTATATGAAACAGCAACTGGGTGTGGTAGCACATGCCTTTAGTCCCAGCACTTAGGAGGCAGAAGCAGGCCAATATCTGAGTTCAAGGGAAACCCTGTCTCAAACAAACAAACAAACAAAACAAGCTTAAAATAGATATTCAAATTAAATACTTACTGGCCGGGCGTTGGTGGCGCATGCCTTTAATCGGAGGCCAGCCTGGTCTACAGAGCGAGTTCCAGGACAGCCTCCAAAGCCACAGAGAAACCCTGTCTCAAAAAAAAAAAAATTAAATACTTACTGAAAGTGAATCATAAAGAAGTTTATTTTACACTATGAGGATATAACTCCATTGATAGAGTGTTCATGTAGCATTCACATAGCCCTGGGCTTGATGTCCATTTCCACATAGAATGGGTTTGCAGAAGCTGGGCAGTGGTAGCTCACACCTTTAATCCCAGCACTCAGGAGGCAGAGGCAGGCGGATCTCTGTGAGTTCAAGGCCGGGCTGGACTGAGAGCCTCCAAAACAATACAGAGAAACCCTGTCTCGTAAAACCAAAAAAAAAAAAAAAAAAAAAAAAAGAATGGGTTTGATGGGTTTGCAGGTACACACCGGTATCTAACACTCTGGAGGTAGAGGCAGAGGATTAGGAATTCACTGCCATCTTCTATTACATAGTGAGTTTGAGGCCACCCTGAGCTCTATGACATCATGGCCAAAAATTTAAAAGCAAAATATTGTTTTCAGGGGTTGTGGATTTAGCTCAGTAATAGAGCACTTGCTTAGTAAGAGCAAGGCCCTGGATTTGGTCCTCAGCTCTGAATATATAGTTTTAAAATTAGTTGTTATGCATATAATTTTATTTGAGATTAGAGCAAATTTGTATACCAATGAGATAAAAGAGCTTGCTTATTTTTACATTAAGAATTGAATCTTAGCCGAATATTTGATACTGCAGAACATAGGTCATCTTCAAAGTTTTCCCAGTAGATTGACAGTTTGAATCTGTAATCATCAATGCTAAGAATGCCACTTTGTTTAATCCCAGCACTCGGGAGGCAGAGGCAGGCGGATCTCTGTGAGTTCGAGGCCAGCCTGGTCTACAGAGTGAGTTCCAGGACAGCCTCCAAACAATACAGAGAAACCCTGTCTCGAAAAACCAAAAAGAAAAGAATGCCACTTTGATAAATATTTAATGTAAAATGGCAGAAGCATGTTTAGAGCCATTTCAAAAATTGTTAGAACTCCTGTCCCAGTACCAAGCCAAAAGTTCATGTAGGGCCGGCAAGATGGCTCAGTAGATAAAGGTGTTGGTGGAGTTTTTCATCAGGACCAACTGCTCCCTAATAACCATACAGAGACTTAATATTAATTATAAATGCTAGGCCAATAGCTTAGGCTTGTTACTAACTAGTTTTTGTTTTGTTTTGGTTTTTTTGTGGCCTTGAACTCATAGAGATCTGTCTGCCTCTGCCTCCCAAGACCAACATAATGAATGAAGGGAACAGGCTACCACAAGTTGTCTTCTGACCTCCACCATTTGAGCCAGGGCATGCAGGAACAGTAGAAAGAAGGTCCATACTCACCAGAATAAAATAAAGAAAAAAAATGGCAATAAAATTTTAAACTTATTTTTTGGGAAAGGGGATACATTAGAACAGAGTCGCCAGGTGGTGGCGGCGCATGCACTCAGGAGGCAGAGGCAGGCTGATCTCTGTGAGTTTGAGACCAGCCTGGTCTACAAGAGCTAGTTCCAGGACAGCCTCCAAAGCCACAGAGAAACCCTGTCTTGGGGGGGGGGGGGGAGAGCCGGGTGGTGGTGGCGCCCATCTTTAATCCCAGCACTGGGGAGGTAGAGGCAGATGGACCTCTGTGAGTTCGAGACCAGCCTGGTCTACAAGAGCTAGTTCCAGGACAACCTCCAAAGCCACAGAGAAACTGTGTCTCGAAAAATCAAAACCAAAAAAATTAAAAAACAAAACAAAGAAAAACAACCAACCAAACAGACAGACAAACAAACAAACAAAAGACCCAGAGGCTTATGTAATGCAGGCTGGCCTTCAACTTACTATGCAGCTGGGATAGTCGTGAATTCCTGATCCTACCTATACCTGTGTACTGCCGTGCCGGGCCTTATTTGATGATTTTGTTTTTTGTCTTGTTTTTCAAGACAGGGTTTCTCTATAGCTTTGGAGCCTGTCCTGGAACTTGCCCTATAGACCAGGCTGGCCTTCAACTCACAGAGATCAACCTGTCTCTGGTTCTCAAGTGCTGGGATTAAAGGTGTGTGCCACCACCACCCTGCTTCATTTAATGATTTTTTTTTTAATGAAACTCAAGTCAGCAATTTTTCTTGCCAAGGATTCTATCACAGTACAATCCAAAGATATATTAATTTAATACTTACAGCTGAGGAAAGACGGTAAGAAAATATTAGGTCTTTGCTTTCTGTAATTAAATCATTATGTTTTTCTAAGAGCAGAAGCTCTGTGTGTACAATAAAATGCTGCAGTTCATAACATTGATCTCAGATCCAAGCCAAGTTGTTTCAGGCAAATGTTCGCATTGTGTGGCTTGACTGTATTTACACTAAACACATGCTGATTGTTCAGAACCAAGGTTATAATGAACTTTTACAATGCAACACAGATGAATGTGGCCAAGAATACCTTTGGATTCATGTGATGCTGAAATAAGTTTTGGTCAGTGGACATTCAGAAGCATTTTACTGTTGCCAATTTTTTCGTGGCTTCCCACATTCGGTCTGAGGCCCCGTAGAGGTTCATCACTACAGCTTGAGACCTGGGGCTGGGATTAGAGATGGTTCAGCAGCTAAGGACACTAACTGCTCTTCCAGAGGACCCAGGTCCATTCACAGCACCCACATGGCAGCTCACAACCATCTGTGATTCAAATTCAAGGGGATTTGATGCTCTCTTTTTTTCACATGAAGGGCATGCATGCGTGCATATAGTTATGTGCTGACTGTAGGCAGAGTTTTTCATCGGGACTGCTAATTTAAAATTAATTAATTAAAAATGCTCAGCTAATAGCTTAGGTTTGTTACTATCTAGCTCTTTCAACTTAATTAACGCTTTTTTTGTTGTTGTTGTTGTTTTTGTTTTTTGAGACAGGGTTTCTCTGTAGCTTTGGAGCCTGTCCTGGCACTCACTCTGTAGACCAGGCTGGCCTGGAACTCACAGAGGTCCACCTGCCTCTGCCTCCCTAGTGCTGGGATTAAAGGTGTGCGGCACCAACGCCCAGCTAAGGCATATTTCTTATCTATCCTCTACCACGTGGCAGTACCTTTTTTCGGCACAGCATGTTCATCTCCTGTGTGTGTCTGGCTGGCAACTCATGACTCTGTTCTTCTTCCCAGCATCCTCTCAGTTTGGCTCTCCTGCCTAGCCTCTTCCTGCCTAGCCATTGACCAGTCAGCTCTTTTATTAAACCAATCAGAAGCACCTTGGAAAAGACACATCTTCAAAATGTACAAAAAGATCATTCCATAACAGCTGGCAAAACACCTGTACGAATACAAATAAGTGAAGTCAAAATAAAAAAAAAAAGAGGCAGGGGCTGGGAAGATGGCTCAGAGCTTATGAGTTCATACTGTGAGTCAAGTTCATTTCCCAGCGCCATGATGGACAGCTCACAACGACCTGTAACTCCAGCTCCAGGAGATTTGGCAGTGTGTCCTCAGGCATCCAAATGCATGTGTACACACCTCCCCATAAGCACATACAATTAAAAATACATGCTTTTTAGAAGTTGGGGGACATAGTACATATTTAACAAATGTTCACTATTTTCTTTCTTTGTTGCTTTCTATTTGAGACAAGACCCTGTGTAACCAGACTGCCTTGAACTCTTTTTTTTCCTAAGATTTATTTATCTTTATGGGTATGAGTGCTTTGCTTGTATGTATGGTATGTGTACCATGTACATGCCTGGTGCCCTCAGAGGTCAGAAGAAGGCATTGGATTCTCTGAACCTGGAGGTACATGAGCAGACATGTGGGTGCTGAGAATTGAACCCAGGTCCTCTGCAAGAGCCGCCAATACTCTAAGCTTCTGAGCCTCCTCTCCAGCCCTAGCCTGAACTTTGGAATCCCCTTCCTCAGGCTTCCAAGCACCACCATGCGCAGAATGGTCATTATTTTCAGAGCCATCAGTCCCATGGTTTCATGACATTATTAATATGGTGGATGAAGTTCATCCCTTTAGTCAACATTTATTGATGAACTACCTCATGATGGGTCTGAACATATAGCAGTGAATTCATGTACATTCTGTCCCCAAAAAGTGAAGCCCCAAGTGACGTTGGGCTCAACCTGACAACAATTCAGTTTCCAGTATCATATGGTGGGAAGAGAGAACCAATCTCTCTTAACTGTCTCTACACGCATACCATGGAACAAGTACACACACACACACACACACACACACACACACACACACACACACACACCCCAAATGTAATTTTAAAATGTTTAAAAAGAAATTGACATTATTGTATTATCAGGGTGATTATAACACCCTACAATGGGAAAACAAAAATGGTAACTTCAGCCGGGCGTCGGTGGTACACGCCTTTAATCCCAGCACTTGGGAGGCAGAGGCAGGTGGATCTCTGTGAGTTGGAGGCCATCCTGGTCTACAGAGTGAGTTCCAGGACAGCCTCCAAAACAATACCGAGAAACCCTGTCTTGGGGAAAAAAAAAAAAAGGTAACTGCAGAAGTCTAAGGAAGAGACATGTCGTGCCTGGAGGTGAGAAGGGCATAGGAGAAAGGTAAGGAGTAGTCACAGCTTTATTCATCAAAGGCACCACTCCATGTGACTGGGGTCCTGGAACTCTGGCTAGGGCGTCGAAGGAATGAAGAAAGGACAGACACAGGTACAGTAAACCTAAGGTCAGATGGATTCTCTGACCACTGCCCCGGACCTCAATGATTTTTTTATGTTCAGCACATAGGGAGGGGTTAGCTGCTCTTGGTAGCAGGTCCCTATAGATGAGCACTCTCAGGCTATGACATCAGGGAGGGGGAAGGTGTCAGTCTTTGCTCACACTGGTCAATGGCTCATAAACACTCATACTGGACTCCCAAAGAAATCCTTGCCATTTCTCTTGAGCCTGACCTATATGGGTAAGGACTTTGCTAAACTGTCCCAAGTTGTTTCAGGCATTAGAGTTCTCAACATGATCATTTGAGTGTCAAAATACACCCTCATTTAAGACTTCACTCAGCCAGGCGTTGGTGGCGCACGCCTTTAATCCCAGCACTCGGGAGGCAGAGGCAGGTGGATCTCTGTGAGTTCGAGACCAGCCTGGACTACCAAGCGAGTTCCAGGACAGCCTCCAAAAAAGCCACAGAGAAACCCTGTCTCAAAAAACCAAAAAAAAAAAAAAAAAAAAGACTTCACTCACTCCGGGTTTGCACTTATCCCTACACAAAGGAAAGTAAGTGGGTAAACTAGCTACCAGAGCTAACCAAAGAGGAGAAAACACTATCTCCAAGAGGTACCAATAAGAAAGCAAACAGGAGAAAACACTATCTCCAAGAGGTACCAATAAGATAGCAAATCAGGGGCTGGAGAGATGGTGCAAGGATTAAGACTATGCATGTACTGCTCTTTGAGAGGACCCAAATTTGGTTCCCAGCACCCATGTCAGCTGGGGATCTGATGCTCTCTTATGGCCTTCAAGGGCATCTGCACAATGTAAATGTATTCATACAGACATAACACACATACACAAATAAAAAATGTAAACTGGGTGGTGGTGATGCACACCTTTAATCCCAGTTCTTGGGAGGGACAGGCAGGTGGACCTCTGTGAGCTCCAGGCCAACCTGGTCTACAGAGTTCTAGGATAGCTAGGGCCATGCAGAGAAAGCTTGTCTTAAAAACAAACGAACAGTAAAACAGGCCAGTAGTTTTCAAATAATCACCTTCTATCTGGAGCTAACGCATGAAATAAGGAGAAAAATATGAATAAAGTGAATTTTTTTCATTGTCTCATGAAACCGAGCTGGCCTTGAACCTGCTGTAGGGTGGCTTTGAGTACCTCATTCTTCTGCTCCCACCTTCCAAGTGCTGGGATTACAGGCAAATGCCGTCACGTCCCTGCTTAAAGTGTGTACATGTGTGTGCTAAATTTCTTCTGTTTAAGGCCACCTCTCTAAGAGAATGTAACCATCCTCCTGTTTGGGTCTACAGCTGTAAAGTGATGGTTGTTGCACAAGATAGCCGTGTTTATTTGATATTTGTGTTTTTTTCCAGATTAAAAACTCTCAGACATCTCCCTCTTCGTTTTCCAAACTTTCAACTTTGGAGAATCTCTGAGCCACATGATCTCTAAGATTAGTCCCATCTTTGTGAGTATAAAATTCTTAGTTCAGCAGTGATTAAGGCCTGGAGCTAAATAGAATTTAGAATCTTCAAGCCAAATCCTTTCCAACAGATCCTGAATAAAAATAAATACAGAAGTGATCGGTAAGGCGAGAGGGGACAGGAACTTGGTACCCTCTAAAACCCTCTGTATTTTTCTGGTTCCCAAACCACAGAATACCTCAAGTATCCATCTATACTTGCTGTCCTGCTCTGAGAAAATGCAGTTCTAAAGAAGAGAGACCGCAGAAATCACAGAGGGAAGAGATGGGGGGAAAATCAATTTGGTGCAGTTTTCACAAACCTTTAAAATAGAGCGATTTAAGTGATGATGGGGTTTCATGACCAGCGGCAGCTCTGAAGGGAATGCTCACGTCTCTTGGCATTTCTCTGAGTAGGTGGGAAAGGAAGGAAAATGGTTTTTTCCTCCCCTTCCACTTAGAAGAAAATGGAGGCAATGAAAAGCAAAAGTCTCCCTTAATGTCCCATTACGGAGGACAAATGAAATGCTCTCCCTGTAGCTCCTCAGCCAGGCCCTGGGCAGGCCCTCCCCTCCATGCTCCAGAAACTAAGTATTCCCCAACACACCTGGCACTGCTGTTACCATGGTGACACTTTTTGCATTACTCTCACCTTTTGTGTTCCTTAACTTGGGGGCGGAGGCTGGTGCAAGGCACAGTTGAGTTTTCATATTTCTCTCCGGCTTCTGGAAAATGGAAGAAGAGAAGTGAGGAAAGGATCCTTATCTCCTCTGCCTGCTTCCTTGGATCCTTGTTTCTCTGTTTCTCTACTGGACATCACTGGCCAAGGTGCCTCGGATGGAGGCAGAGTATGGAAAAAGCTCTGATGGAGCCAGGTAGACCTAGGTTCAAATTTGAAGCTCCTCCAGGAATCCCTGTGTCTTCATTCAAACCTGCCCTGGCTCAAGTACTGGCAGATTTGAGGGAAAGTCAAGAGGACAGATGACATGAGCCAGAAGGAAAAACACCAAGGCAGGTACTGGTGGTGTCGTCCCCCCCACCCCCCCAACCCCCGTACCTGGGATTGAATTTAAGGCCCCAAGCTCACTAGCAAGCTCTGTATTACTAAGCTGAGCTACACACACACACACACACACACACACACACACACACACACACACACACCATCTTCTCTTTATTCTTCATTTTGAGATGGTGTCTCACTACATAGCCCAGGCTGTCTTTGAACCAGCAATCCTACCTCAGCCTGCCACCAGGCCTCTCTAGGTGCTGTCTCTATGAATTCCTGGGAAAACAGAATAATGTGAAATCCAAACTGAACTGAGAGGGAATTCAGGAAAAGCCAAGCACTTAGGAGTTAGGTATGTGTGCTCAACAAAACTAAACGTGAGAAGAGCCAGGCATAAGGGTGCTTGCTATAATCCTGGGCCTGGGGAGACCAAGGCAGGAAGGTAATGAGTCTGAAGCCAGCCTGGAATTCTCAGCAAGTCCCTGCCTAGGAAAACAACCATCTGGGCAATGATGGTGCACGCTTTTAATCCAAGCACTGGAGGCAGAGGCAGGCGGATCCCTATGAGTTCAAGGCCAGCCTGGTCTACAGAACTAGTTCCAGGACAGCCTCCAAAGCTACAGAGAAACCCTGTCTTGGAAAAAAGAAAAAGAAAAAAGAAAAAAAAACTACACAAAACACTCTCCACTCACACCCAGCACAGACCCAGACTATCCAAAACTCAACTTAGTAACCTTAGATAGCTCTGAACGTTAACCCTTCAGTGTCTTTACTTGTAAAAGGATGGTCCTAATCATACCAACCCCAAGGGGTGTTGCTGGAATTCTAAGATACGGCATATGAACCATCCAGGGTCAGTATACAAAGGTGGCTGCTTCTGAATCAGAGTCCCCGGCCAAGCAGCCACTCTTTTCCTAAGCTGGACTGCACTGCAGTCCACACTGTTTCACGTGTGTGGAGCCTGGCTTCTGGCTGATGCTCCCAAAACACAACTTCCCAGCCGTTTTGGATTCTTTCCTTTGGCTGCTTCACACGTTTGCCCTCTCTGTAGCTTTCAGACTCTTGGTTAGTTCTCTTCCAGGTCCAGAAGGCCACATACAACTCACACCTGAGGCCCCTCCTCAGCATTCCCCTCTTCACCAGCGTAGGCCTCTCCCCTAGACCAGAGGGAGAAGAGAAGGCCTGAGACGGTCCAAGGCCTGCATTGCCCCTCCCCCCTCGGGGAGAAAGAGGGAGGGCTTCCCAGAGACCGAGATGGGGAAAGGCAGAGTGTGCATCAGTCCTGATGCAATCTTACTCTGATTTCTTGGCCCACTTCCTCCTCCTCAAGTGTTTACTGAAGCCTGAATTCCACAGAAACCTCTGGAAGTGTGCACTGACAACAGTGACAGGCAGCATGCATAACTGTCCCAGCTCCAGGGACAGCTTAGGACGAAAGTGATACTGTACCCTGGGCTCAGGGACACTGGCAAGAGAAATCCGGTATCTGGAATCCAGTGGGAAGGGCAGGGAAGGTAGACTGAAAGAAAGAGGCATGGCCGAGGGACAGACTTCTGCTTCGTGCCAGATCCAGTTTCCAGAACCCACTCTGGGGAAACCAATAAATAGACTCTTTATCTAAGCTGTGTGGAGGAGGCCACCAAAAGGGGTCTCCAGTGATGGGAGCCTCGGAAGCAGCTTCGAGGCATGCCTCTTCCCTGCCGGCACAACTAGCAGGAAAGCAGCTTGTTGGAAGGGCCATGTTTGCAAGCCATTTGCCCAAGACACTCATCTGAGGGGTCATTTGGTCCTCAACCATAGTCTTGACTGGGGCGCCTGGAGACATTCGCAGGGTGCATAGTGGTTTGGGGCAAGGGATTTGGGCAGGTATTTGCCAGCTGCCCCAGGCAAGCTATTTTATCTGACTCTCACCTTCCTCCTAGCAAAAGACAAATGGTGAAATCTCACCTCACAGACTGGCCCCTGGTCGGCAGAATTTTTCCTGGCAAGGTTACAGTCTCTCAACAGCCCATTAGAGTAGTGGGTCTCCACTTTCCTAATGCTGCGACCCTTTAATATGATTCTTCATGTTGTGGTGACCCCCCCCCCCCGCCACCACACATACCATAAACTCATCTTGCTGCTACTTCATAACTGCAATGTTGCTACTGTTATGGATCTTAATGTAAATATCTGATATGCAGGATAGCTGATATGCAACCACTGTTGGGGGGTAGCCCACAGGTTGAGAAGCACTGCAACAGATGATGGTATTCTTACATTATTTGATTTTATTTGATTTAAGAATCAAGGCTTGGAGAGTCTTTTTCTGAAGCTGGGCCCGACGGTGATGCTTTTTGTCAATATCTAATGACTGTTTCCCAGGAGAGGCCAGGTTTCCCCACCCCCAGAGCTGTGAAACCTAGTATCTAAACTTGCTCAAGCTCCTGAGTCACCAAGCAAGACAAGCCCAAGATAATCAGATCAAGGAAACTCAATGCAGAGAGGGGAAAACCCAGCCACAGGCTGGGGCCTTCTCAACTGCGAGTCCCTCCAATGAGCTCACTGTGCACAGCACAAGCCACAGGCTGGGGCCTTCTCAACTGCGAGTCCCTCCAATGAGCTCACTGTGCACAGCACAAGGCACAGGCTGGGGCCTTCTCAACTGTCACCTGGGAAGAGGCACTGGGAGTTCCCAGAGCAAGATGTCAGTGACACCTGGGTCTCCAGGCAGCAGCCACACCCTCCCCTGGCTTGACACAACTGCTTTTTGTTTTGCTTTTTAAATTTTATTTTATATGCATTGGTATTTTGTCCTCGTGTATGTCTGTGTAAGGGTGTCAGATCCCCTGGAACTGGAGTTACAGATAGTGTAAGCTACCATGTCCCAGGTCCTCTGGAAAAGCAGCCCGTGCTTTTAATCACTGTGCCATCTCTCCAGCCCCTTGTTTTGCTTTTTTTTGTTTGTTTGTTTTTTTTGTTTTTGTTTTTCGAGACAGGGTTTCTCTGTGGCTTTGGAGGCTGTCCTGGAACTAGCTCTTGTAGACCAGGCTGGCCTCGAACTCACAGAGATCCGCCTGCCTCTGCCTCCCAAGTGCTGGGATTAAAGGCGTGCGCCACCAATGCCCGGCTTGTTTTGCTTTTTTTTAAAAACAAAAGTCTCACTTTGTACCTCTGGCTGGCCTGGAACTCATTATGCAGACCAGACTGGCCTTGAACTCACAGAGATCCTCCTGCCTCTGACTCTTTGCTTTTAGATGACTCTCTTTTTTTGCTCCATTCCCCACTGCTGGAAGAATTGACACCCTAACTCTCATCCTCATTGCCCACTCAATCCCAAGCCTCTTTGGTTTCTACTCAACTATCCCAGCAACACCCTCTGATCACACTCACTGATGGTTTGTTTTTTTGTTTTTTTGTTGTTGTTGTTGTTGTTTTTTTTTTTTTTAGGAGACAGGGTTTCTCTGTATTGTTCTGGAGGCTATAGGTCCAGCCCGGCCTCAAACTCACAGAGATCCGCCTGCCTCTGCCTCCCGAGTGCTGGGATTAAAGGCGAGCGCCACCACCGCCCGGCCTCACTGATGGTTTGTTGATTGCCAAGACATAAAATTCACCTCCATGCCTTAACTTTTCTAAGTGCTTGGCACGCTTGGCAACGTATTTATTTTGGGTTGGGGTATATATGCACACACATGGCCGAGGTCGATGGGTAGCTTTCTGAATTGCTCTCCACCTTTTTTTTTTTTTTTTGATAAAGGGTCTTTGTTTTGTTTTGTTTTATTTGTTTTTCAAGACAGAGTTTCTCTGTGGCTTTGGAGGCTGTCCTGGAACTAGCTCTTGTAGACTAGGCTGGTCTCGAACTCACAGAGATCCGCCTCCTCCCAAGTGTTGGGATCAAAGGCGTGCACCACCAAGGCCCGACTCTCCAAAGGGTCTTTCACTGAACCTGGAGCTCACAATTTAGTTACACTAGCTGGCCACCTCCCAGTGCTGGAATGACAGGTGCATGCCACCACTCCTGGCTTTATGTGGTGCTGGGGATTGAACTCATGCTTGAATAGCAACCATTTTACCAACTAAGCCAATCCCCCAACCCCTATTTTGGTGTCTGAGACAGGGGCTAACTCTGCATCCCAGACTGGTTTCTAACTCTAAGTAATCCTTCTGCCTCAGTTTCTCAGGTGGTGCAATTAGACATCTAAGCCACTACTACATCCTGCCACCTTAAAACTATCCCTGCTGGACTTCTGCGAGGACTCCACCCCTGGTTGTCCTACTGTGTGCAGTCAGGTTATGCTTCGCACTTAGCTCTAAGCCTTGCTCCTCACAGTTCTGCAGTCAGTCCCCTCCCCCTGCCATCCTCATCCTTCCCACGGCCTTAGCCTGTGTCGTGTCTCTAGGCCATATCTCAAGCCTTCATTTTCCTCCAAAGGGTGATTGCTACCATGTTACCCTATCTATACCTCAGCACAGCAAACTCAACATTGCCAATATCACCAAAGCCAGCCTCTGTATCTCCTCTCCAGACCTTCCTGATGATCTCAGTCTTTTTTGATGTGTGTGTGTGTGTGTGTGTGTGTGTGTGTGTGTAGGGTGTTTGTTCTCATTTTTATTTTGAGATAGGGCCCTGTGGCTTGGAACTCACAGAGATCTATCTGCCTGCCTCTACCTTTTAAAGTTCTAAAGTATAAAAGCGTGTGTTGGCTTGTTTTCTGTTTTCTGAGATGGGGTCTCTTGTAGCCCAGGCTGACCTTGAGCTCACTATATAGCTGAGGATGACCGTAAACTTCTGATTTTTCTGTTTCTACTCCCTAAGTGCTGGGGTTATAGGCATAAGACCCCAAGCCTGGCTTACATAGTTCTGGGGGGCTACAAACCCAGAGTGTCCTGTGTGCTAGATCAGCGCTTTATCAATTGCATTTCATCCCTAGGCCCCTCTCCCACCTCTTTTCTGTGAAACAGGCCTCATTATTTAGCTCAGGCCGACTCAGGAGTCACAGTTCTCCGACCTAAAATTCTGGGATTGCAGGCATGCTCTATTGTGCCTTTTCCCCTGTTTCCAATCTCCATGAACCACCTTTTAACCTATTGCCTAAGGCAGAGGGGCTTGCCTCTTTCCAGTCCAACTCAAACACCGTGCTTTTAACTTTGTAGAAATTAATCTCTCCTCTCCTCCATGCCTACTGTTTCTGTCTTCTGTTTCTAGAGCCTCCGTTGTGACCTAAAACCTGGGTTATAACATGTTTTGTGTAATGACTGGGCTCTAGGCCTTATTTTCCTTTCCCTTGAACTAAACAACTCTTTGGGGTGTCTGCCTAATAACAGTCCTGTTTGTAAGAAGCCACTGGGGTGCATAGGCCTTGCTGGAAGGGCTCCCCTGGACCTCTTGTTGACCTCACTGAAGCCTTCCAGGCTGTGCCACAGGGTTGGGAACCAGAGCTGCACACTCGACCCGAGCTGGATTCTGAAACTCAGTTAGAGTGTCTACAGTTCAAATGTCAGGGAGTGACGAAGAGGAGTGGCAGCTACTGTGGCCCTGGAGAGCATTTGCCTTGGCTGCGTGCGGCAGCTGTCACTCTGCACTGGCAGATGGTTGCCATGGAAATATAGGCCCTTGTCAGATATTCCAATTTTCTTATGTAGAATTCCCCAATTTTTAAATTCCAGGCATTCTTTCTTTTGAATATCACAGGCTAAGCAGCTTGCTGTGGTTACTGCTGTTATCCTATTTGACCCACAGGGCATCCAGTTTGCAGCTGACACCATTGAGTCAGGTTCAGGTGCTGGCTCCAAAGGTGGAGACTTACCTCTTCTGTGTGCTGTGGAGAGGCAAAGAAAGCCCTCCACACAGAGAAAAGAATGGAGCCCAGCCTGCTGACTGTCAGTTGTGCACATGTATCCTGGCCTAACTCCTCTCTCCCTCCCCTCCCCTTCCCTCCCCAGGACTATACAATAGCTAAACGTTATATATGCTCTGAAGCCAGAGGGACCTGCATTCAAATGCTTTCTCTGTGGATTTCTGTAGGTCTTGAGCCAGTCACTCTCTGAGCCCAATTGGTCGCACTCCTCATCGGTTATGGGAGTTGAGTGAGACACTGCTTAGAAACCTCTGAACACACCGGGCGTTGGTGGCGCATGCCTTTAACCCCAGCACTCGGGAGGCAGAGGCAGGCGGATCTCTGTGAGTTTGAGACCAGCCTGGACTACCAAGCGAGTTCCAGGACAGCCTCCAAAGCCACAGAGAAACCCTGTCTCGAAAAACCAAAAAAAAAAAAAAAAAAAAAAAAAGAAAGAAACCTCTGAACACAGTGCTCAGTACCCGCTACACATCCAGCAAGTGTCACACTCTTTGTCTTCACTGAAGTAGACTTTGTCTGCATCCCAGTCCTCTCTCCCATTTGTGTAACTGGACGGCTACCATTTGCTCGTATTACTTACCTCTGCAGTGCCTACCTTCGTACACTGTAAAAATAAACAAATACATAAAAACAAAAAAGCTGGGCAGTGATGGTGTATGCCTTTGATCCCAGATCTTGGGAGGCAGAGGCAGGTGGATTTCTGAGTTTGAAGCCAGCCTGGTCTACCAAGTGAGTTCCAGGACAGCCAAGGCTACATAGAGAAACCCTGTCTCAAAAAAAAAAAAAAAAAAAAAAAAGGAAAAAGAAAGGAAGGAAGGAAGGAAGGAAGGAAGGAAGGAAGGAAGGAAGGAAGAAGGAGAGAGAGAGACAGGCAGTGGTGGCACATGCCTTTAAACCCAGCACTTGGGAGGCAGATCTCTGTGAGTTCGAGACCAACCAGCCTGGTCTACAAGAGCTAGTTCCAGGACAGACTCTAAAGCCTGGTCTACAAGAGCTAGTTCCAGGACAGACGGACAGACTCTAAACCCTGTCTTGAAAAACCAAAAAAAAAAAAAAAGAAAGAAAGAAAGAAAGAAAGGAAGGAAGGAAGGAAGGCAAAACAGTGTTGGGCTGGAGAGATGGCTCAGCAGTTAAAAACACTGGCTGCTCTTCCAGAGGTCCTGAGTTCAATTCCCAGTAACCACATGGTGGTTCACAACCATTTGTAAAGAGATTTGGTGCCCTCTTCTGGCTTGTAGTCATACAGAACACTGTAATACATAATAAGTAAATCTTTCAGTTAAAAAAAAAGAAAAACAGTGTTGAAGATCAGACTGATGGCCTTGTACCTGCCAGTGCTTACAAGCAACTGTAAATCTCTTGAGGGAAAGGGAAAGGTCCCGTTTTCTCTTTATTGTTTTTCAAAGACTTTTTATTTTATGTCTTGGCATTTTGCCTGTATGTGTAACTGTGTACCACTTGTGTGTCTGGGTGTCTGGTGCCCTCAGAAGCCGGAAGAGGGCACATTCCCTGGGACTGGAATTATAACTGGAAATTGAACCCAGACATTCTGGAAGAACAATAAGTATTTTAAACCCCTGAGCCATCTTTTAGCTCCTTCTCTTAATTTTTATGAGGTGAGATGAACATGGGGCTAGGAGTTTTGTACATAGCACACACTCAGTAAACATGGGTTGTTGGTCCAGCACTCAGAATTTCAACTTTATGGGAACAAGAATCTTGTCTGTATGATTCACTCTTTTTTTTTCGGGGGGAAGGGGGCTTCAAGACAGGGTTTCTCTGTGACTTTGGAGACTGTCCTGGAACTAGCTCTTGTAGATCAGGCTAGTCTCAAACTCACAGAGATCCGCCTTCCTCTGCCTCCCAAGTGCTGGAATTAAAGGCGTGCGCCACCACCACCTGGCATGTATATGATTCACTCTTATATCTCCCAGGCATACAGCGACCCCTTAATAAATGTACATTGAATGAATGGCTTCTCACAGCCCTCATCAGCCAGGACCTGCAGAGGCCAGTCAGACAGTTGTGAGCTGCCACGTATATGCTAGGAATTGAACTCTGGTCCTCTTGAAGAACAGCCATGTTTTCATTTATTTATTTATTTTCAACACAGGGTTTCTCTGTGTAGTCTTGGCTGTCCTGGAACTCACTGTGTAGACCAGGCTGGTCTTGAACTCACAGAGATCTGCCTGCCTCTGCCTCCCAAGTGCTGGGTCTAAAGGCGAGCGCCACCATGCCCAGCTTCAGCTCATGCTCTTAACCACTGAGTCATCTCTTCATTCCTAATACCCTTCCATTTTTCTTTTGAGGGACTATCCTTCTGTATAAGTTAAGGCTACACTTGCTGTGACAAAACACTATGACCAGCGCAGCTTCTAAAAGAAAACTTTTAATTGTCTTGTGAAGGCACGGCAGCAGGAACAAGTGTGCGTCCCCATCACGATCCATAAGCAGGAGGTAGAGAGCACGCTTTTGAAACTCAAAGCTAACCCCATGACTCACCTCCTCCAACAAGACCATCCCTCCTAATCCTTCCGAAGCAGTTCCACCAAGTGGGGACCAAGTATCCAGAGGAGCCTGTGGAAGCCATCCTCATTCCAGCCACCACCACACCCCTTCCTCAAAGTGTGTGCCTGGCCTCAACGCCGATAGTCACATGACCCAAGGCTAACCAATCAGAGACAAGCTGTCTACTTGAACCAGGAATTGAAGGCTCAACCAAATACAACTAGAACTGGAACTATTGGAAAGAGGACATTGCTTTCTCATTGAGGAAGCTAAGTCAAGAGACTATAAGAGAGCTGCTGCTGGCCATGACATCTCTGCACAAAAGAGTCTTCCTTGGCGTGGAGTACACAGAGAAAAAGATTCCTGGCAGTGTCTTTGAGGAAATACACTGGTTGTGCCCAAAACCAAGCCCTTGACCTTTCTATTAGAGATCATCAATTCCCTTTCTTTCTTTTTTTTTCATTTTGTTTTGTTCTCTCAACTAGAGCCAAATTTCTATCACTTAAATTGAAAAGATTCCTGGGTAATATTAAGGTTCTCTAGACAGAGAGTCATAGTGGATACCCACCTACACACTTGTAGCAGTCTGTGAGTCCACAATGATCCCCTACCCACAAAACAGACTAACAGCCATGTGGGTACTACCCAGCCTGCTCCCCAAGGCTACAACTGGTTAGACCTGAAGTGGACATACAGCTCAAGGTAATCAAATCAGATTCTCACTCCTGGGGATTAGGGTTTAAGATGAGATCTGGGTAGGCTGCAGGTTTAAACAAAGGCAGTGTGAAATTGGAGAGGGGCATGTTCCCGGCCCTGCAGAGACGCTGGTCTGCTGAAGAATGATGTAGGAGAGCCTGCAGAAGCAGGGGCTGGAGGCCATGGTCCCCCGTGTCTCCCCCCCCCCCAGAAAGAAACAGAAAGAGCTAGCGAGCATTGCTTCTTCATCCCTCATGAGACTAATTACTTCTCCTGTTGAGCTCCGGGAGACTTCTCCTTGTTCATAAATCGCCTCCCCCACCATTACTCCTTCAACTTAAAATAGAGCCACTGTTGTTTTTGTTTTTGTTTTTACTTGTCATGAAAAGGCCTTTAGACTGCTGCCCTAGAAACAAGATTACAGCTAAGCCATCTTGTTCATAAGCTGACAACAGCCCTGGCTCACTGATCCAGACACCCAAACACAGAATTACCTGCTCTGTACCTTCGGCCCAAACACCTGGATTTCCGGTAATGGACCGGTCCTCTGTGAAAGGATAACCGTGGTGAAGGAGGGGTGGATGGGAGCTCCGAGCTCAGAGAAGCCACGTGGCCAGTGTCTGTGAAGGCAGAAATGCTCAAGTCTAGAACAAGCCCTCAGGTAGGGGCCAGCAAGCACAGGGAAAGACGCCTGAAGGGACACACTCTGCCCTGTCACTATCTTTCCATCTCATTCATGTGATTTTTTAAAAAACATCAAAGAGCAAAGGAACGCTCTGGACCCCATTCTAACGATATTCCCAGACTAGAGGAAACAGGCACAAGGATGTTCGCTGTGAGTCTTGGATGAAGGAAGAGCTGCAGGTGACTAAGTATTTACCAGTGCTTTGCTTTGCCCATATACTGGACTGTCACGGAGGTGATGATGGGTCAGTGGCACACACCTGCACTTCCAACCCTGGGAGGCAGAGGTGGGAGCTTAGGACCATCCTAAGCTACACAATGAATCCAAGGCCAATGAGCCAATGTGAAAGGCAGAAATGAAACAACAACAACAAAAAGATGTGGAGGAGAAAAGGCACAGTATTTAATTTTTTTTAAAGCAAAGAACTTTTTTAAATTAATTAATTTATTTTGTATATAGTGTTCTGTCTGCATGTATGCCTGCAGGCCAGAAGAGGGCACCAGATCTCATTACAGATGGTTGTGAGCCACCATGTGGTTGCTGGGAGTTGAACTCAGGACCCCTGGAAGAGCAGTCAGTGCTCTTAACCTCTAAGCCATCTCTCCAGCCCACAGTATTTAATTTTTTAAAAAAATTATGCTAGACATGGGGTGATAGAGAGAATGCAAAGGTTAGGAACACTAGTTGCTCTTGCAAGAGACCTGGATTCGGTTCCCAGCATCCACGTGGTAGCTCACAACCATTCATAATTCTTCTGGCCTCTGTGCGCACCAGACACACGTGTGGTACACATACATACAGTCAGGCAAAACATTTGTTCATGGGCTGGAGAGATGACTCAGTGGCTAAGAGCACTGGCTGTTCTTCCAGAGGACCCAGGTTCAATTCCCAGCACCCACATGGAAGCTTACAATTGTAATTCCAGTCCCAGAAGGTGTGATACCCTCTTCTGGCCTCTGCAGGCACCGGGTATACATATGATACACATACACGCATCCAGGCAAATCACCCCTAAACTTTTTTTTTTTCGAGGCAGGGTTTCTCTATGGCTTTGGATGCTGTCCTGGAACTAGCTCTTGTAGACCAGGCTGGTCTCAAATTCACAGAGATCTGCCTGACACTGTCTCCCAAGTGCTGGGATTAAAGGCATGAGCCACCAACGCCCAGCTACCCATAAACTTTATTATTATCATTATTATTTTGGTTTTTGTTTTTTTTTTTTTGGTTTTTCGAGACAGGGTTTCTCTGTGGCTTTAGAGGCTGTCCTGGAACTAGCTCTTGTAGACCAGGCTGGCCTCGAACTCACATAGATCTGCCTGCCTCTGCCTCCCAAGTGCTGGAATTAAAGGCGTGCGCCACCACCGCCTAGCCACCTATAAACTTTTTAAAGATTTATTTATTATGTATACAGTGTTCTGTCTGCATCTATCCTTACAGGCCAAAAGAGAGCACCAGATCTCATTACAAATGGCATAAGCCATCATGAGGTTGTCAGGAATTGAACTCAGGACTTCTGGAAGACCAGCTAGTGTTCTGAACCACTGAGGTGTTTCTCCAGCCCCATCCATAAATATTTTTAAAAAACAACTCAGCCAGGAGGTGGTGACCCACGCTTTTAATTCCAGTATTTTGGAGGCAGAAACAGGCAGATCTCTGAGTTTGAGGCCAGCCTGGTCTACACAGCATCTTATAGGACAGAAAGTGCTATGTAGAGAGAGACCTTGTCTTTAAAACAACAGCAACAAATAAACATGAAAACCAAATTTAAGAATCATTTCAGGCATGGTAGCATACATCAATCCCTGAATTCAGGAGACAGAGGCAGGAGGATCTCTGTGAGTTCCAGGCCAGCCAGGGCTACACAGTGAGACCCAGTCTCCAAAATACATGTAATTTGTTTTGTGTGTGTACAGGTGTGTCTGGTGGTGACGGTGCGCACATGTCACTGTGTGCTAATGGTGGTGAGAGGATGACTTGCAGGACACTGCTCTTGTCTTCCTCTGGGCTCAGGACCCTGCTCTTGTCTTCCTCTGGGTTCAGGACCCTGCTCTTGTCTTCCTCTAGGTTCAGGACACTGCTCTTGTCTTCCTCTGGGATCAAATTCCGGTCATCAGATGTGGCCTGAGCCATCTTGTCAGCCCAAGCCACAATGTTTTTAAATAAAAACAAGCATGGAATAGAATTCAAGATGTTATATTGTATAACACAAAGTTTGTCTGAAAAAAATAGAAATATTGTTGGTTTGTTTTCTGGAGACAGGGTCTCTCTGTATTATTTTGGAGGCTGTCCTAGAACTCGCTCTGTAGACCAGCCCGGCCTCCAACTCACAGAGATCCGCCTGCCTCTGCCTCCCGAATGCTGGGATTAAAGGCGTGTGCCACCAATGCCCGGCTGTTGTTTGTTTTTTTGAGACAGGGTTTCTCTGTAGTTTTGGAGACTGTCCTGGAACTTTCTCTGTAAACCAGTCTGACCTTGAACTCAGAGGTCTGCCTGTTCTGCCTGCTGAGTGCTGGGATTAAAGGCCTGCAACACTATTGCCTGGCCTTGTCTGAATTTTTTTAAGGTCAAAATCTAATATACCAAACAACTTCCTCTTCCTCATTTACATTCCAGCCCACACAGTCCCATCGACCACCTGCCTGGTAAAGCATTGGTCTTCTCTGTCTGTGAGGTTACTTGAGTAGAACAGAAAAAAAAAAAAAAACCAAAAAACCAAGAAGCATTTATGTAAGCACCTGGCCCGAGGTGTGCAATGCTAAAGATATTGAGAAGAATAGATACCCATAGCATTCTCCAAGTGAAAAACCAGGTTCCAAAATTATTACCAAATCCATGAGTGGTGCATGTCTCAGGTCACACACAGCACATCATGTGATCGTTCTTCTGTGTATTTTCACAGGTCGTTAGAAGTTTCTATAATATACATGAAAAGCACCACTAAGCTATTTTCATGGAGGAAATACACCTTGAGTTTATCCTCTCCTATATTGTCCTCAGATCATATTCAACGAGATTTCCTCCAACACATCATCACCTTTCTGAAATAGGAGGTTTACCAGGTTGCCTCGGCTTTGCAATTGCTTCAGGCTGTAGCTTCTGTTCAGGGAAGAGGCACTTTCTTGAACCTGGTGGAAACGCTAGATGGCTCACTCGTGCCCTCTAGTGGACATAGTAGATCAGTGTCTGTTCTAGCTAAATAACTCAATGTCTCACAACGGCCAAGGTCAAAGGCTCTTTGTTACTGTTATTGCAGTTCGTGTGTTTGATGCCCGGAGTTCAGAACCTGGCTCCCACACAGATCATCATCTTGGCTAACCTAAGCTGAAAGTTGATGTGAACTATACTATCTGCTCCAAGTCAGAAGCACCTCGGTGCTGTTTAGCAATTGCTGGGGCTCAAATTGGGCAGCTATCCTGTCCAGTAAAGAGGACTGCTGGTCAAGACTGGAGAGGGAACAGTAGAAGTCAGGTTGCAGGAGAAGACACACTCATCCTAATCATAAAAACTTTATCCTTGTGGGGGCTGGAAAGTTGGCTCAGCAGTTAAGAGCACTGACTGCTTTTCCAGAGGACCTGGATTGGATCGCAACACCCACAGTTGGCTCAGGATCACCCATGATTTCAGCTCCAGGAGATCTGATGCCCTCTTCTGGCCTTTACAGCCACCAGGTATGCACATAGTACACCAAAGCACTTATACACAAAAAAATAAATTTGTTGTTGTTGTTGTAAGCATTTCGGGATGGGTCAGGACAGGATGGAACCGGAGTGGGTCAGGTATTCTGGCACTCGAGAGTCACAGAGTGGTACACAGCTCAGGTGGAAAGGTGCCCTGGAGCTCCGGAGCCAAGGACCACCAAAGGTTGCAGTAAGCTTAGCTACTTACAGCCTTGCCTCAGAGAAAGGCTTCCCCAGGCTCCGCTCCAGGTGCGGATGCTTGCCTAGTGTAGCAGTTTTGCTCGGCAGGAGGTTTCTCTGGCGAAATTACTACAGTTCAGCTCTGCTCGTGGGAGCGGAGTGTAAC